TTAGTATCAACTCATGTTTATGAGTATCATATACTCATAAAATGCTCACATACTAAGAATTCCATTGTTTTCATCATATTGTCCCTAAATCTATTTCAATTCAAGCTTATACATGATTCTATCATCATGGATGAGTTTGATCATTCTAATTGGATTTATTGTTGTCAAACATCATCTAGGTCATAGAATCAAATCCCATTTTATCATCAATTGCAATATCCCCAATTTAGGTTTTCTAGGTGTAACATCCCTTTCTGGCACGTATCACAATATTGTCCGCTTTGGACTCACGGCACGAAAACTTCCCAGAGGGACACCCATCCCTGAATTGTTCTCGCCCGGTCACGCTTAACTGCAGAGTTCTTATGGCTTTAAAACGTGTTGTGTCAAGGAAGGTATCCACACCCCTTAAAAGGAAATTTTTCGTTCTCCTTCCAAGCCGATGTGGGATCAGGTGCAACCCACCTTCACCCCCATTATAGGGTTTTCGACGTCCCTGTCGAACACATCAACCCGTGCCCCAGCTTTGATACCATTTGTAACATCCCCATCTGGCACGTATCACAATATTGTCCGCTTTGGGCTCCCGATACGAAAACTTCCCAGGGGGGTCACCCATCCCTGAATTGTTCTCGCCCGGGCACGCTTAACTGCAGAGTTCTTATGGGATCTGTTGCCCTCACGGATTTAAAACGTGTTGTGAAAAGGAAGGTATCCACACCCCTTATAAGGAAATGCTTTGTTCTCCTTCCAAGCCGATGTGGGATCAGGTGCAACCCACCATGCGGGTATGTAATCTTTTGCTTTCTTCTTGATAGTTATCGATATTTATATTGCTTTGGAATCTTGTTTCGGTATGGGTAAGCATTATATTTGGTTTAGTTCTATGTTTTTGCTTGGGTTATATCATCAAGAATTGTTATATTCCATTTTGCATGTCAAGAGTCATTAGTGGGTCGTATCTTGCTGAGTGGGTTTCAGTTTGTCGGTTGTTGTTCCGGTTCCTTGATGGGGTCAATTTAGGGGTATCGTTTGGAAGGTCTATGGTCGGATTAGCTGGTTAGTTCTCTAATGAAGTCAGAGTTCAGTTGTGTTAGCATTTGATTTGGTAGGATCGATAGTCGTCTATGGAAGAACCTTTGGGTTCAATCACTACCGTTGCTAGGGAAGGAGTAGTAGCGAGAAGATGGTTAGAATTCATAGATCCTACTGAGGATGGGAAATTGGAGTGAAGATTCGCAGTTCAGAGCAAGGGTTATGATCTTTTTCACCAGCATAAAGAACTTAAGGATTTGGTGTTGTATCATGGGAATCAATTGGGGTTATCGGGCTTGCTGAGATTTCGGGAAGTATTCTTCTGGATTCAAGAGTTGTGCGATCATCGAGATCGGCTAGTAATGGAACACTAGTATTGGTATGTGCAAGTCGACGGCGATTCGAGATATAAGGAGATAATATGGGTTGGGAATGCATCAAATTCTGTGGGTTGAAGAGCTTCGACGAATCTAAGTGGGGGAGAATCGTTCAGATTTCCAGAGCTGAATCGGGTATGAAACTAGGATGAGTTTCACATACCAGTCGGGAGGGAAGACGAATCAAGTGGTTGTCTGGATTGAAGATTGTGTAAGTTTGGAGTTTAGGAAACTTCCAACAGCTGGTTGGCGTCTTGTTTGTGATGGATAGCAGGCATGTGGATGGATCCAAGTTGAGGGTTGTGTTAGAGCCTCGCTGCCTGTTCTTGTTTGATGAAGGCTTTGGGGTTCGAATCATGACCCAAACACTTGATTGGGATTCAGTCGGATGCGGGTTCGACTCAGGATGATTGTGGTTGATATGGTAGAGGTGTGGTAAGACCATGGCGGGATAGACGTGTCATAAGACTGCGGGGTGGCCGTAACATTCACTGGATTGGCAGATAGTATTGAAGTGTTGAAAGTTTGCGATGGGATCGTAGCGTTCACCAGATTGAGGTAGACCATCGTTGGGTTGGTCGTGAGTATGAAGGACGATCAGCTCGTGCCTTGGGCAATGCGGACAGTGGGGTCGGAGAAAATCTCTCTCTGTTATGGGAAGAGGACCATTGGGGTCCGAGGCGAGGTTGGGCCTGTGTAGCTCTCGATGGGGTGAGACCCGTGGGCGTGGCTCGTTCGTTGGTATAGACTGGGTGAGACCCATGGGAGATGCACGTATGATTATGGCAATGCAGATGAGACCTGGTAGAGACTGGTTGGATCAAAGAATTATATTATAGCTTTAGTAGGATGATTATGTGGTTAGGGAGTGGCATAGTGTGGGGCATAGGCTAGGGTAGCCTTATCGGTTGAACTCTCAGGAACTTGGTGGCTGGACCAGGTGTGAAACTGGTAGTCTCAGTGGTGGTTGGGGATTTTATATCCCGGTTTAGTGAATGGATGTTGTGGATCAGAAAATTTCAGGTAAAATGCAAGTGTGAATCCTTGGATCTCCGGTTATGAGTTATGTACCGAGTGGGCTTTTGGTCGAGACTCTTGTGATTATGTTTCGGATTGGTTCCACCTGTGTGGAGGTTAGGCAAGTGATAGGATTTTAGGATTTTAGCAGTATCGTGTTGGATCGACAATTATGGGATTAGTGTTTTGTTTAGCAGTTGAAGGTTTTGATCGGAGCGTTGGTTTCCAGAAGGGTGGTAAGGAGTGATTTTGAGGACGAAATCTAATTTAAGTGGGGAAGAGTTGTAACGTCTTGTTCCGAATCGTTTCCTAATGCGGGGTGGTGACCCACAGACCGAGTATCATCAGGCTTAGGGTTTTATTGGAAGTAGGCTCATGATCGTTTTGGGGCTCGGGTTATTGGGATATAATGGGCTTTTGTTGCTTTTGATTTGGGCTTTAGGTTGCCATTATAGGCTTTTTCTGCATTTGGGTTGGACCTTAGTCATGGAACAAGTAAGAAAAGGGTAAAATGGTCATTTACCCTTTAGGAAGTTAGTTTGTGGAGTGGGCCTCAGATTTTGGGTTATCAGGTTAATTATTTATTAAGATTGTATTTATTGTTAGTTGGCGTGAGGTTATCCGATTCAGCGGTCCTAGCAGTTATTTGATTGTCAGCAGATTGAGGGGAGTCTCCTCACTGTACTCGTAGGTCGAAGGCACCAATGTCGAACCACTAGGTTTTGTTATGCTAGTTGTCTTTGTGAATCTTGCATGGTATGTTGGGCTAGACCCATTTGTATGTTGGGCTAGGCCCATTGTATGACGGGATAGACCCATTTGTATGTTAGGCTAGGCCCATTGTATGTTATGTAGGTGCTAACTATCTTTGTGACTTTTGCATTTATATGATCGGGCTAGGCCCAATGGTTTGGCAGGGCTAGTCCCATTATGGTGGACTGGCCCAATATGCGGGCTAGACCCAATGTGAGGGCTAGGGCCAATGGTATGTATGGTATGTGGTATTTTGGGAATTACTTACTAATTTTAATGTTCGATCACATGATGTATTTTGCTTACATTACAAATGAGGCCAAGTCAAATTTAATGATGCGTTGGTGGTACGATTAATAGACTAACGATATATATTCCCACTTGAATGTCTTTTTTTATTTATATGTTTTTTATAAGATCATCTCCAACTCACTTCCATTTTTTCTCCAAAAATAGAGTAAAAATGGGGTAATAATGTTTCATTTCCAATCCTATTCCATTTTTACCCCATTTTTTATCCCAAAAAGTATATTCCATTCTTCCAACTTACATAAATTGTCAAACACACCCTTCTACTAATTTGGGTTTGACAAATATATAATATATATTTTTTTTCATTACAATAACATTAAATAAATAAGATTATATTTATAACACATTTATAAGCTTTTGTAAAATACGTTATTGTTTATTAAAATTTCAATATGTATTTAACTTTTTATATGAATTTGATGAACAAAAAACAAACTTTATATTTATAATTAATTAATACAATTTAATATATAACAAAATATTATAAATATTAAATATTACATTTAAATTATAATTAGTAGGTAAAAATAAACTAGAAATGTATAAATATATAAACAGAAGGACTAAACCGACAACGCAAAGTTCATCCCATTTTAAGATAAATGAATAGTATAACACCATATTTGGTGTAATACTATTCATATCCCCCAAAATGGGGAATAAACGGGAGAGAGTTTGAGAAGATTAAGAAGAAAATGAAAAATGAGAGTGAGTTTCAGATGCTCTTATATGAACCTACTATCATTTACTCATTTTTTTTTATTATAGCAATAACTTCCATATCTTTTTAATACAAGAAAGAGTTGTATTTTCAGGTTTTTCCTATAAAATCATTATAACTGTTAAAAAAAAATTAATCGTCACAAAAAAACTAATATTTGAAAGACATTATCCGCACCCGTCGTTTAGCGCAGGTAAACGGTTAATATATATATATATATATATATATATATATATTAAAATATTAATTTTTAGGTACAGATTTTAAAATAATAACTGAATGGAAAAAACATTTATGAAATTTGTGTTCAAGTAATTTTTTGTAAATGTAATCAAACCTACCAAAAAAAAAAAAAACTTCACATACCAGCAACCAGCAACCATCAGTGTTCTTCTACAATACTCCATTTCCACCACTCTCTCTCTCTCTCTCATCAGTTTCTGGGGTTTCACCCCTCCTCTGTTTTCGGACATCTTCACAGTATCAAAGCATCCGTAAACGAATCTTCAGCTTTTGCTTTTATGGTATGTCGGTCAAACCCTCTACCTCTGCCTATTCCTGTTTCTTTTTGCCCCAATTCAACTATTCGAGCCTTGATGCTGATGTATATAAATCTATATGTATATGTATATGTACGTACATATTCATTTATGTATGTATATGCATCATGACTCATGAGTAAGTACTACAGATACCCATGAAAACAAGTTACCAGCATGTGCATGTGTTCGCTTGTCTCCTCCCTGTTTTCTTTTTCGTATGTTATGGGGTTTTCTGTTTTCATTTCAATGGGTTTCCCTCGATTCCTGTGTTGAATTCTCTTACCTTTTTTCGAAATTTATAAACCCCCTTTTGCTTTTCCATTTGATACACAATCTATTTTCTTTTTGTTGATATTTTAGAGGGTGGTAGGGTGCTGAGGAAATTGGTTATTGCATTTGAAGAATCAAAATTTCAAAATAATCAAGTGCCTAACTTTTAAGTCTAAGAAGGTAGGCAATTGTATTAATTTAATTAATTAGTTATTTTACAACTGTTCGTGTGCATCTTGAAATCTGATTATTTAAAGTCCAGATAATTTTAAAATCACAATCAATTTAAAAGCAAATCCAAACTTCCCTTTCTTTAATTATTTTCTTGTACATTTTGCGTATTTTCTATCCCAAACAACCCGACAATATAATAAGTTTTTGCAAAATACTATGACTTAAAGTTATGGTTTAAAAGGACATACAGATAAGAGCATTCTCATTATTTTTGTAAAAAAGTTATGTTTAAGGTTCCTGGGTTGTCTTGTCATGTCTTCTTGATCCAACAATTCAAACTATCAGCTCTCCTTTTTGATGTATAAAAAAATGGAAAAAGTTCGTCTTTTTTGCAATTTGTAATATGGGTTTGTGAGTTTTCATGTATTTTCATACAAAAAGATTAATTTTGCAGATTAGTAGATATGCAGAAGGTGAAGGTAAACAGCTATTCACCCACTTGTGTTCTTGAGGATTATTTAAGAAGTTTGGAATCAGAGACAGTTTCTTCAAAAGAAAGCACATCCGGAAGTGAAGATCATCAAAAAGATTCAAAATCCTCAACAACAACAACAACCTCAAAATGGATTGATTTTGTTCATCTTGTGAAAAGCAAATCAAAGAAATGTTTGCCCACATTTCATCCAATCAGTAGTGGCTTGCAATTATCAAGAAAATTAAGTAGCAGTTTCAGAGAACACGTGGCCATGATTCCACCATCTCCAATGGCAGATATGAATTACTTCAAGCCTCATTGGAAGAATTTCACCTTCTCACAGTTGCAATCTGCCACCAACAACTTCTCAAAAGGTATGCTTCTTGATTCATCTTAATCTTCAAGATTATCATAAACGGGTTTATCATAAATTTTCTATGATTATTTGATTATTCAGAACTAAAGTTTTCATCTTTTTTGTAATTAGGTAAGGAGTTGCTGTAAGAATCATTTTTTTTTCTGAGTGTTTGGTAAATTGGAGATTATGATTATGATTATTTGATTATTTACTTTTTAAAGATTTCATCTTTAGATGATAAGGTAAGGACTAAGGAGTTGCTATAAGAAAATTGATTGTCAAGACAAATGTAAAATTACCTAACTGCCCCTGACAGTATAGGTGATTGTATAGATGTGATATTTCAAGTAGCAATAATCACTTACACATGTAAAATTAACTTCAAAAGTGATAATCATAACTTTAAGCAACAAAAGCACAAACGCTTTTATTACAACTAATTATCTGAGAATCGTATAATAATTAGTTAGGATTTTATTTTATCATTTCTCCAGAAAATATGATTGGGAAGGGAGGATATGCTGAGGTGTACAAAGGGGTTTTAAAAAATGGGCAGCTTGTTGCTGTTAAACAACTGACACGAGGCCCTATTGATGAAAGAACATCAAGCTTTTTATCAGAACTTGGAGTTATGGCTCATGTTAATCATCCAAATACAGCCAAATTGATTGGTTATGGTGTTGAAGGAGGATTACACCTTGTTCTTGAGTTGTCTCCTAATGGCAGCTTAGCTTCATGGCTTCATGGTTAGTCTTACTCCTTCTCTCGAGTCTTGGATTCAATTGAGCAACAGAAATACCAATGTTTTGTTATTGTATTCTACTTTCATTTTCTTTATACTATAATGCACAATTAATTGAAAGTAGGTTGTTAATTCTTGTCTTATTGTTTTCTTGAATTGAAAGGATTATTAAAAAGTTTGGATTTTTACATTTTTTGTTACAGCTTTGAAGGAGAAATTGGATTGGGGTATTAGGTACAAGGTTGCTTTAGGGACAGCTGAAGGTTTGCTTTACCTTCATGAAGGATGTCAAAGGAGAATCATTCATAGAGACATCAAGGCTGCAAATATCTTGCTTACACAAGACTTTGAACCTCAAGTAAGCCCTAATTCATTTTCTTTAAATTAATTATTAGTTTTGAATGATTATGACTTTAACGGATCATATAAGATCAAAATAATCATATTTATATAATTGGTATAGAATTGTTGGAAGAAAATCACAAAATATAAGTCTAAAGTAGAAAAATATGCAACTTTTTAAGGTAAACCATTTTCAACTCAGATTTGTGATTTTGGGCTTGCGAAATGGCTTCCGGAACATTGGACTCACCATACAGTTTCAAGATTCGAAGGAACATTCGGGTTTGTATGCTTTTATTATTAAAGCCCCAATACTTAATAATATACTAATACTAGTGTTCTTATTCATAATCATAAATAGCTTAAATTTTTATCATTTTTTTTTTTGTGTAGATATTTAGCTCCAGAGTATTTAATGCATGGGATAGTCGATGAAAAGATTGATGTTTTCGCATTTGGTGTACTTTTATTGGAACTTATTAGTGGTCGTAGAGCTCTTGATTATTCTCAACAAAGTCTTGTTTTATGGGTACGTATGCTTCAGAAATAGCAACATTGATTTATTCATATTACAACATTCTACTTTGAAAAATTGACCTAATAATATATGATAGATTTTTTAACATATTAATAAGGAAAGCTGTTTGATTTCCTTAAACAGGCGAAACCATTGCTGAGGAAGAACAATGTGAGAGAGCTGGTTGATCCTGCAATTGCTGAGAATTGCAATAAACAAGAATTGCATCGAATGGTGTTGGCTGCATCTTTATGTATACAACAATCATCCATTCGAAGGCCTGATATGAATCAGGTATGTTTCTTTTTTTTGCTCATTCAAGAATCTTTCTAACCATTTTTGAGAAATACAATACAATGGTGTATATGCATGCACAGGTTTTACAGCTGCTAAAAGGGGAACAAGGTGGATGGGAGTTTGCAATGAAAAACTGTAGAAGAGGCTCATCATTGAAAAAACGATATGAAGATCTTTTTAGTTCGGTTAAGTATGGTATGATCGAATCAAACGGGTTAATCAGGCTTTGACAACATGGATATGATACGATATGGGTGAAATTTTGAAGTAGAAATCTTCTTCTATATATATGTACATACATATATACATATTACCTTTTTACTTTTGTAAAATTATATGGTATAGTATTAATTGTGATCTTGCCAGTTGCAATCAAGGTTCTTTAGAACATTTGTTGGCTATTTTTGTTTGAAGAATGGAATGGAAGAAAAGATTGTTGGATGCTTATATAGTTATATGGTGGTGGAACTTTGTATTGTAGCGATGTTTGTTGTATTGTAATGTATTTTTATATATATAGGAAAATAAATGAAATTCTATCGCTTTTGAAGTTGAAAGATAGTTGGTTTGGCAATTAAAAGTTTGGACTCGTAACATGGTGCAACTGCAACACTCTTAGAAAAGTGAGGACAATTCGCTGAATGTTAAAATCACAACCAATATATTCCAAAAATATGTGAACAATTCCCAACGGTGTTACTAGTTAATTGTCGTTACTACTGTACAAAGCAAATTAGGCCAAATTTAAAGCAGGCAAATAGCTATCCAATCCGTTAACCCAATCCAAAATTAGCTAGTTGGGTTAACATTTTCAACCCTTTAAGTTAAATGGGTAACATGTCTAACTCATTTATTTAAATAAGTTCGGTTATGTAAAAATTATCAATCTGTTTTCAATCCGTCTAAGTTTAATACATATTTTATTTTATTTTATAATATAACTTACTCAATTATTGTATGTATGTTGTTTGATTATTTGATATTTATATTTATATAAAAGTTTATGCTTTAAGTATAAGTATATTTCCGTTCAAAATAGTATAAGTATAATGCTAATAAATTATATTGGGCTTTGGTCCTACGTAGCCTTTTCACACAATATACACAAATGCAAACCTAAAATTAATGTCGGCTAAAGGAGTAATTGAGTAAGGCCGAGTGGTATACTAAGCACGAGCATGTTCGTGGTTGAGCTGGCCACGAACAACGGGCGTGCACACTACCCCGTTGTTTCGTAGTGGCTCGTTGTCGTTTAGGCTCGTGTTCGGCACAACGGAATCGCACGCCCAATCAAGTCGAAGCCCTCAATTTGACCGTTACTATAGCCGTTGAACGGCTAGTTTGTTTTAAAAAAAAATTTAACCAATTTATTTACCTATAAATACAACACTTTTACTCCTTATTTTTTACACCATTC